GGAGGTTGAGACCAGACAGGGTGCCAGAGGGAGCCGGTGGACACGGAAGAACTATAGAGAAGTGAGACAGGACAGGACCCCCAGAGGGGTCAGCCAGAGACACCGTAACTGGCCGACTAAGCGGCGTGAATGTGGTGCGGTCCCGAAAGAAGGAGCGAGAAGCCCCAGAGTCAAGGGTGAAGGTGAGGGAGGCCGAAGCCGATGTAGTACCTGAGAGTGTAGACTCACCAGTACCTGAGGACGCAGACGCACTAGCACCAAGAGCAGCAGCGTCGCAAGCACCTAGGGCAGCCGCCTCACCAGTACCTAGAGCAGCAGTCTCAATGCCCGGATCGGGCGGGAAACATTGGTAACACTCACCCTCATCACTAATAGACACAGCATACATGGCAGAAAGGATAGCATCGAAATCAAGATCATAGATGGCAACGCCCGCCCTAGACAGCTCGCCCCAGCGAGGGATCTCTGTGGCCTCCGGGAACTAGTGACGCCACGCGTCCGCTAGGCGGCCAAAGCAGCGCTGGGTGGGGTGCGCACCCCCACACTGCTCACCCGCACGGTCGCCGGTGCGTAGGACGTAGGTGCACGGACCAAAACCCCCACCCCGCTGGCGTGCAGTGTACCACTCACGGAGCTGCTGAGGTGACAGGGTCTCACGACCGCGCTGCTGCTGCTGGCGCGGACCACCACCGGAGCCACTTCTCTGCGTAGACCCGCGACCAGCTCCACCGCCACCCCCGCCGCCTCCGCCGCCTACGCCGCCTCCGCTACTACCGCCGCCTCAGCCACCTCCGCTCCCACCGCCACCGCCGCCGCCGCCTCCGCCTCCACTGCCGCCACCGACACCTCCACCTCACCACCACTCCCACCGCCACCCCCAGTCCCCCTGCCGCCTCCACCTCCACCTCCACCGCCCCCGCTCGCCCCTCCAGTGCCACTGCCCCCCTTGCCCTTGCCAGAGCGGCATCTCCGGCTAGGGGCAGACGCCGCACCGACCGACTCAAGACCAAGGAGGTCGGCCGCAGCAGCAGAGGCAACAGAGGGCAAAAGGGGGGAGGGGGAACACCCCTCAAAGATGGGGGTGCGCGGGTCACCAAGAGAGGCCCCTACAGCGACTATGCTCTTCTCGGCCGCTAGGAGGGACTTCTCGAGGAGGTCAACAATGAGAGTGGTGGGACAGACTGAGAGGAAGTGGTCCCTGACTAGTGACTATGTAGTAGAGAGTGATGTACATGGGAGGGGGGGGGTGTTCTTGGCGCAGAAGTCAGCAGGAAGCGCAGCGCGGTAGCGAGTGTCACTAGTGCGGAGGTGCGTAATGAGGTCAGCGACTGTGGGAAAGGCAGTAAGGTCAGGGAAGAGGTACGGTAGCATGAGACAGCTCAGTGCAGCAGTGGCAGGGGAGGAGTAGCGCACAACTACAGCGTTGTACAAGGTCTGAGCACTCTTGTACTGACTAAAGTGCGCACGCTCAGTGGTAGGCAGGTGGCGACGCACAGCAAGACGTGCAGCAGCGTCGCGGGTGGCCCACTGAGAACGAACAGTGGCGTCAGCGTCAACAGCAGGGGCAGGGGAGGCGCAAGAGGTGAGGTCAAAGAGGGAGAGACCGTCTGCCCTATCGCACTGGAGGAAAAGCTGCAGGACATCTACCCAGACCTCAAAGTCAATGGCCCGACCCTCAGCGTCAAAAGCAAGAACACTGGGGGTAGCCATGACAGCAGTAGACTAGCAGCACTAACTGTAGGACAGGGGCAGTGTAGTGACAGAAGCGCTGCTCTCACCAGACAGGGTGGTTCGGGCAGCTCAGCAGCACAGCAGCTCGGCAACACGGCGGCTCGGGTGACTCGGACGGCTCAGTAGCAACTGCGGCTCTGCGGCACCAGCGGCTCGGCTCCTCAGCGGCTCGGCTCCTCAGCGGCTCAAGCGGCTCGGGCGGCTCGGGCGGCTCGGGCGGCTCGGGCGGCTCGGGCGGAACGGGCGGCTCGGGCAGAACGGGCGGCTCCGGCTGCTTGGCGGTGCGGGCGGCTCGGTGGTGTAGGGCGGCAGGGCCGCTGGTAGGGCGGCAGGGCCGCTGGTAGGGCGGCGGGGCCGCAAGGTAGGTGGCGGGGCCGCAGCAGGAGGGGCGGTGGGGCCGCAGCGAGAGGGGCGGCGGGGCTGCAGCGAAGGGCGGCGGGGCCGTAGAGAAGGGCGGCGGGGCCACAGCAAAGGGCGGTGGGGCCGCAGTGAAGGGCGGCGGGGCCGCAACGACGGGTGGCGGGGCCGCAGCGAAGGGCGGCGGGGCCGCAGTGAAGGGCGGCGGGGCCGCAGCGAAGGGCGGCGGGGCCGCAGTGAAGGGCGGCGGGGCCGCAACGACGGGCGGCGGGGCCGCAGCGAAGGGCGGCGGGGCCGCAGTGAAGGGCGGCGGGGCCGCAACGACGGGCGGCGGGGCCGCAGCGAAGGGCGGCGGGGCCGTAGTGAAGGGCGGCGGGGCCGCAGCGAAGGGCGGTGGGGGGCCGCAGCGAAATGCGGCGGGGCCGCAGGGAAGGTCGGCGGGGCCACAGCGAAGGGTGGCGGGGCCGCAGTGAAGGGCGGCGGGGCCGTAGGGCTAGGCGACGGGGTCGTAGGGCTAGGTGACGGGGCCGCTAGGGCGATGGGGCCGCTAGGGCGGCGCGACGAGATGAGAGAGAGGAGCGCGACTCGGGCTGAGTGCGCTCCGGGCAGAAAAAAAAAGGTTTCGACTTGGTGGGCCCTAGGAACAGTTCCCACTAGGGAACCTACTCTGATACCATGAGAAAACTGAAACGAGAATGATTGAACTATGGAACAGTTGGGTACAAGTACTAACCCTCATTGGGTTGTACCCCTTATGGGCTACCCCACTACAGCCTACACAAATGTATAAGCTATAATGTTCTAACAAGTGCAACGCGTCAGGAGCCGCCCGTCGTAGATGAAGTGAGAGTCGCTCATCGATCAACGAGGCCGTACTCAGCTAGCTACAGGGCTCCCTGGATGCTTAAGATGAATGGCGATTGTGGCAGCAACAGGCGCAAGGGGCGCCAAAACAACAGCAACAGTCCCAAGTGGCGCCGAGACAACAGTCGCAAATAATGCCAAGGCGGGCACCAGCGACACCTCCGGTGATGGCTTCGAGAGCACCGACGATACATGCAGCAGCAGTAGTTGTCAGAATGCTATATAGCTTATACATTTGTGTAGGCTATAGTGGGGTATCCCATAGGGGGTACAACCCAATTAGGGTTAGTACTTGTACTCACTCATTTCATAGTTGATCCATTCTCTCGTTCTCATTCTCACATGGAATCAGAGCAGGTCCCCTCCTAGGGATTGTTCCTAGGGCCCACCGAAGCGCGCCTCGAGTCGCGCTCTCCCCTTTGTTTTTCCTAGCGGCCTGACGTGCCGCCCTTACGGTCGCGTCGAGCCGCCCTAGTGGCCCCGCCGCCCTACTTAGCGGCCCCGCCGCCCTACCTCGCGGCCTCGCCGCCCCATTGCGCGGCCCCGCCGCCCTACCTAGCGGCCCCGCCGCCCTTACTCGCGGCCCCGCCCCCCCCCCATCGCGTGGCCCCGCCGCCCCATCGCGGCCCCGCTGCCCCATCGCGCGGTCCCGCCGCCCTACCTAGCGGCCCCGCCGCCCTTCCTCGCGGCCCCGCCGCCCCATCGCGCGGCCCCGCCGCCCTACCTAGCGGCCCCGCCGCCCTTCCTCGCGGCCCCGCCGCCCCATCGCGCGGCCCCGCCACTCTACCTCGCGGCCCCGCCGCCCTACCTCGCGGCCCCGCCACTCTACCATGCGGCCCCGCCGCCCTATCTCGCGGCCCCACCGCCCTACCCAGCGGCCCCGTCGCCCTTCTGCAGCGGCCCCGCCGCTCCTCTGCAGCGGCCCCGCCGCCCTACCCAGTGGCCCCGCCGCTTCTCTGCAGCGGCCCCGCCGCCCTATCTAGCAGCCTCGCCGCCCTCTCTGCAGCGGCCCCGCCGCTCCTCTGCAGCGGCCCCGCCGCCCTACTTCAGCGGCCCAGCCGAGCCGCCCAGCAGCAGAGCAGCCGAGCCGCCCAGCAGCAGAGCAGCCGAGCCGCCCCGCCGCCGAGCCGCGCTGCAGCCGAGCCGCCCGGCCGCCCACCAGCCGAGCCGCCGTGCAGCCGACCGCCCAGCCGCCAAGCCGCCCAGCTGCCGAGCCGCCCAGCCGCCGAGCCGCCCAGCTGCCGAGCCGCCCTGCAGCCGAGCCGCCCGAGCAGCTCTGTCCGATGAGCACAGACCCTCTGTGACTGCGTGCCCTTCCCCTACTGCTTGCACTGCTGGTCTCCTACTGTCATGGCTACCCCTAGTGTCCTCACTTTTGACGCTGAGAGTCGGGCCATTCACTTTGAGGTGTGGGTAAATGACCTACAGCTGTTCTTACAGTGCGATAGGGCGGACGGCCTCTCTCTCTTTGACCTCACCTCTGGCGCTTCCCCTGCCCCTGCTGCTGATGCAGACGCCACTGTTCGCTCCCAATGGGCCACGCGCGATGCTGGTGCACGTCTTGATGTGCGTTGCCACCTCCCTACCTCCGAGCGTGCGCACTTTAGTCAGTACAAGAGTGCTCAGACATTGTACGACGCTGTAGTTGCGCGCTACTCCTCCCCTTCCACTACTGCACTGAGCCGTCTCATGCTGCCGTACCTCTTCCCTGACCTTGCACCGCGCTGCGCTTCGTGCTGACTTCTGCACCGCGAACCCCCCCCCCCCCATGTACATCACTCTGTACTTCCTAGTCACTCGCCTCCCTGACTCCCTTCGAGTAGTCAGGGACCACTTCCTCTCAGTCTGTCCCACCACACTCACTGTAGACCTCCTCGAGAAGGCCCTCCTCGCAATAGAGAAAAGCATAGTCGCTGTAGGAGCCTCTCCAGGTGACCCGCGCACCCCCATCTTTGAGGGGTGTTCTCCCTCCCCCCTGCTGCCCTCCGTTGCCTCTGCTGCTGCGGCCGACCTCCTTGGTCTTGAGTCGGTCGGTGCGGCGTCTGCCCCTAGCGGGAGACGCCGCTCTGGCAGGGGGCAAGGGAGCTGGAGGAGCGGGCGGTGGAGGTGGAGGTGGAGGCAGTGGGGGGAGTGGGGGTGGCGGTGGAGGTGGAGGTGGGGGTGGGGGGGTCGGTGGCGGCAGTGGAGGAGGAGGCGGCGGCGGCGGTGGCAATGGGAGCGGAGGTGGCGGAGGAGGCGGCGGTGGAGGCGGCGGTGGAGGCGGCGGCGGCAGTGGAGGCAGCGGAGGCGGTGGAGGCGGTGGGGGTGGCGGTGGAGCTGGTCGCGGGTCTTCGCAGAGGAGTGGCTCAGGTGGTGGCTCGCGCCAGCAGCAGCAGCGTGGTCGTGCGACCCTGTCACCTCAGCAGCTGCGTGAGTGGTACACTGCACGCCAGCGGGGTGGGGGTTTTGGTCCGTGCACCTACGTCCTACGCACCGGCGACCGTGCGGGTGAGCAGTGTGGGGGTGCGCACCCCACCCCGCGCTGCTTTGGCCGCCTGACGGACGCGTGGCGACACCAGTTCCCGGAGGCCTCGGAGATCCCTCGCTGGGACGAGCTATCTAGGGCGGGGGTTGCCATTTTTGATCTTGACTTTGATGCTATTCTCTCTGCCATGTATGCTGTGTCTCTTAGTGATAAGGGGGACTGTTACCGGTGTTTCCAGCCCGATCCGGGCATTGAGACTGCTGCTCTAGGTACAGGTGCGGCTACTACCCTAGGTGCTTATGACGCTGCTGCTCTAGGTGGTGGTGTGTCTGCGTCCTCAGGTACTGGTGAGTCTGCGCTGTCAGGTACTACGTCGGCTTCGGCCTCCCTCACCTTCACTCTTGACTCTGGGGCGTCTCGCTCCTTCTATCGAGACCGCACCACACTCACGCCGCTTAGTCGGCTGGTTGCGGTGTCTCTGGCTGACCCCTCTGGGGGTCCAGTCCTGTCTCGTTTCTCCACAGTCCTCCCGTGTCCGGCGGCTCCCTCTGGCACCCTGTCTGGTCTCTACCTCCCCTTGTTCTCGACGAACCTGGTGAGTGGTGCTGACCTACAGGATGCGGGTGTCCACTAGTTCACTCCTGCGCATCGGCGAGTGACCCACTGTACAGAGGCTGGCACAGGCCAACACCTGGCTACGTTCACCCGTCAGCCGGGGTCGAGCCTGTACACTCTGACCACTGCATCTCCTCCAGTTGCTGAGTCTAGTAGGGTAGTTGCGTCGGGTCAGGTGTTTGCTGCGGCGTCCAGGTCTGGTCCTGAGTCTGCCCCCTGTTCGTGTAGTCTCCCGTCTCACGAGCCTCTCCTCTGGCACCACCGCCTTGGCCACCCCTCTCTGCTTCGGCTCAGAGGTATGGCCTCCCGTCTTCTTGTGTTTGGTCTCCCCCGGTCCCTCCCTCCCCTTCCTCAGGGCCCTGGCCCTGCCTGTGTCCCCTGTGTCGAGGGGCGCCAGCGTGCTGCCCCTCACTCCTCCCAGTTTCCTCCGACACAGGCCCCGTTGCAGACGCTTCACATGGACGTGTGGGGCACGGGGTATCCGTCAGACCTTCACGCTTCCGGACTCACCGCAGCAAAATGGGATTGCTGAGCGCCGCATTGGCATGGTCATGGACGTCGCTCGTACGTCTATGATGCATGCGGTTGCCCCCCATTTTTTGTGGCCGTTTGCGGTGAGGTACGCGGCGCATCAGATCAACCTCCACTCTAGGGTCTCCAGGCCGGAGACCTCCCCAGCCTTGCTGTGGACCGGGAAGGTTGGCGATGCGTCCGCGTTCCAAGTCTGGGGATCTCGGGCGTTTGTCCGCGACCTGTCTGCGGACAAGCTATCCCCTCATGCTGCTCCTTGCGTCTTCTTGGGGTTCCCCCCTGACGCGCCTAGGTGGCAGTTCTACCACCCCACCTCTAGACGTGTTCTGTCCTTCCAGGACGTCACGTTTGACGAGTCGGTCCCCTACTACCGCCTCTTCCCCTACCGCACTCCGTCCCCCCCCCCACCCCCACTCTTCCTGGTACCATGTCCCCCCCAGATAGACCCCCTCCCCCCTCAGGGTCCTGCCCCTTCAGGTGTGTCCCAGGTAGACGCAGTCGAGCCTATCGAGGTCACTGGTGACTCTGGTGCTGCTGAGGGTGCTGAGGCTGGGGGTGCTGAGCCTGGGGGTGCTGGACCTGGGGGTGCGGAGCCTAGGGGTGCTGAGCCTGGGGGTGCTACGTCTGGGGGTGCTGAGCCTAGGGGTGCTACGTCTGGGGGTGCTGAGCCTAGAGGTGTTACGCCTGGGGGTGCTGAGCCTAGGGGTGCTACGCCTGGGGCTGCTGAGCTTGGAGGTGCTCCGCCTAGAGGTTCTCCGAGTGCTTCGTCTCGCCGAGAGCCACTCTCTCTACAAGAGCTGCGTGAGTGGTTTGCCCGGCATTGGCGCCGTACTGCTGGTGCTGGAGGTTCTTCGGCTGCTGAGGGTGCTGCGGTCGCGGGTCCCGGAGGTGCTCGTACTGGGAGCACTGGAGGTGCTGGACCTGCGGGGTCGACTGGAGCTGGTGCTGCTCAGGGTGTTGGCGCTGAGACTACCGCTGGCGGTCGTGCTGGGGGGGCTCTTGGTGCTGCTGGAGGTTCTGGAGCTACAGGTGGTGCTGCTGGAGCGGGTGCTCCTGCTGAGGGTTCTAGTGCTGTCCCTGCTGCTTCTGGCGTCGCCACGCGGCCTCGACCGTACTTCGTTCCACTCCTGCAGCAGGTTCTTGGTCTTCCACCTTCTACTGGTCCTCCTCCTCCCTTAGAGTGTCCACAGCCTGTCCCGTCCCAGCTACAGTTGCAGCCTACCTCCCCTTTGCCTGCTCCTTCTCCCTATACTGGTCCTACTGGAGGTCTTGCTGAGCGTCATGAGCCTGCGTCTCGCCCTGCGTCACCTGTCCGTGCTACTCGCACTACTGGTCGCGGTTCGCGTCAGCGTCCTTCTCCTGTCCCTGGCACGCACCGGATGTCTCTGCGTCTGTCCACTGCTCCTCTGCGTGCCCCTTTGCCTTCTCTTCCTGAGTCCTCTCTTCCTGCTCTTGCCGACCCGGAGTCGGACTCTCTTCGTGCTGCCAGTCCTACTGTCACGCGACCCCTTGCTACTATTGTCACTAACCCTTCTTTCGAGTCCCCTGCTGCGTCTGCCCTAGTTGCTGAGCTCGTCAACTTTGCTGCTCACTGTCGCTTAGACTACGCTGCTAGTCTTGTCACTGAGTCTGAGTCTGTCTGTCCTCCGTCCGTCGGGGGTGAGTGTGCTCTTGGCACGGACGTCCTTGAGGACAGGCAGGAGGAGTTCCAGTGTCTGGCAGCAGCTTCACCTCATCTCGTGTCCGTACTGCTTACCCCTGAGGGAGACCCGGATGCACTTGACATCCCGACTCCGCACTCTTACGCGAAGGGGATAGAGGGTCCCTACTCCTCTCAGTGGCAGGCAGCTATGGACGCAGAGATGGCTTTCTGGAAGTCCACAGGCACCTACGTTGACGCTGTCCCCCCTCCTGGGGCGAACATCGTCAGTGGCATGTGGATCTTGTTGGGTGCAAATTCACATTGCACGACATCCTGCCGTCTGTTTGTACGAGTATGCGTGTGCGAATGCATTTGCGTGTGAATGGTATGTTTGTGTGTTTGTTTGCTTTCGCAATTTTCGCTTGAAGCATTTGCAGGTACTCGCAAAATGTGCGCTTCGGCATAACATTGTACGCGCTATGAACAATACAAGCAGAAAGGACGAGCTCGCAAAGGAACCCAAGATGGAAGCTTTGCGGTTCAACTTACTTGATTGCGCAGATTCAGTTCTATCCAACTCGAAATTGTACTGTTTTGTTTGGTTGACTATAGTGTAGCAGGGCAGGCACTATAGGGGTACAATTTAGGTGAAGGTTGGATGTTGTTTGTCTGTATCTGCATGCTACAGGGCCAGGGGAAACCAGCGGAACCAGCATTTGGCTGGTTGGGCAAAGACAAAACAGGTTCTGTTTTTAGGACCTGAACCTGGTTGTTGTTTCCCCAGGTTGGAAAAACAGAACCAGAGGTTGTTCACCAACCTATCACCTGCTATTTTGTCCAGCCAGGTTGGTTCTGTTGCTTGGAATGATTTGGGATCATCCCTGGTTGTTCCCAGGTTGATTCCCAAGGTCCTTGCTAGCTAGAGCTATTTATTCCTTCTCTGTTTGTACCTGAATATAGTGAAATTGATTCAAGCGAATTCCTTCCTTGCTGGAATTTCTTTTCTACGCGGTGCGACGGCGGAATGCTACCCGAGTCAACGCTAGTACGCTAGCACTCCAACGCTAGGCTAACGCTGTCCGAGCCATAACTTCGTAATGGCAGAACTTTTCGCGAGGCAACTTGGCTTATTTTAAAGCTCTTAGAGTGAGCTTCAATATAGGAAATTCTCAGCTTAATCCGATCGACGGTCTGCACGATACGCTGCGCGACGTTCAAGGTACTCTTGCTGTTTTGACTAAGTCCCTTTTGATCCCTCTCTCTACAAACTCGGACCCGAGGATAGGGGCTGGTCTTGTACCAGGCACCCAAGGACCCTTGGAGGTGACCCCGAGGAGAGGTTTTAAGTGTGATTAAGTCTTAATAGCTTGAGTTTATTAGGCCCTTACACCAACAAGCTGGTATCAGAGCTGCGTTATAGTGATCCTCGATATAGGTAGCTATGGCGGGCAACACCTCGGCGGTAGCAGGTAAATCTTCAGCCCAAGATCGTAGCGGCAGCCATGATTCTGGTGTTTCTGCGCCAAGGGGAGCGCGAACAAGCCAGGGCTCGCTGATCAAGGAGGTGCTGAAAAACTTCACCGTCGAGAAGTTCAATGGTGAGGGCTATGATGATTGGGCCTGGAAAATGCAACTTTATTTCCGTCAAATCGGATTGCTGAAACTAATGATTGGGGAGGAGCCTAGACCGAGTGACCCCGCCCTTCAGGAAGATTGGGACGAGCGCGCCTCGGCTGGCTACTACTTGATGTCGCAGAGTTTGGAGCTGAACCAGCGTCACCACGTCATGCACCTGCTGCCGGAGGTTGAGTGCGGTCCGAAGGCGTGGACGGTGTTGAAGGAGCTGCACGCCCCGACCTCCGTTGTTGCAACATTGATGCTGGAGAGGGAGCTGTCCGCGTTGCGCCTGAGCGAGGGAGAGCCGGTGCAACCTGTCCTGGACAAATTGCGCGACCTCTACGCGAAGTTGGCGACCGCAGGAATCACCTACCCGGAGCAAACAAAGTGCTTGAAGATGCTCTCGCTGCTGCCGGAATCGTGGCTTCAATTTACGAGCGGATTGAGCCTGCCGCAGAACCAGAGCTTGTGGACGCTCGAGTGGGTGCGGACGAAGATTCTGGAGGAGGACTTCCGTCGCCGCCAACTGAGGGGTGGAGACGACGGCAGCAGCGGCTACGGGATGCAAGGGAGCCGACGTGGCAAAGGATGTGGCTTCCGTGGTGCTGGACGCGGTGCAAAGAAAGACGACGACTCCAACGACCAACAAGGAGGTACCGGTTGGGGTCGCGGTGCAAAATCTGGACGTGGGGGCAAGTCGGGTGCTGGTGGCAAAATAAAAGGGAGTTGCTGGTATTGTGAGAAGGAAGGGCACCCCTGGTTTTTGTGCTATAAGAAACCCGATGGATGGACCCCCCAGAATCGTCACCAGGATGGCGGCGCGCGGAGGAACCAGAAAAACGGCGCCAACATGGTCGCTGATTCGTCCGACAGCAACTCGAAGGGCAACGGCGGTGCAGAGAAGAAGAAGGAGCGCACCGCGGGCCAATTCTTCCATATGGGAGACAAGGGGGAGCAAGGAGACGCATCTGCTAAGGCTGGAGCAGAGCTGCACCCCCTGGACTATTGGGTGTTGGACACAGGCGCTGCTTGGACAATGACGCCGCGCAAGGACCTGCTGGACGACGTACGCGCTGCACCGATTAATGAGGTGTGCTCTGCCTCTGGACACATGTTAAAGGTGGCTGGTTCGGGACGAGCTGCATTTAAGGGAGCGGATGGCAAGCCGGTGGTGCTGCACGACGTTCTCCTCGTCCCCGACCTGAAGGCCAACCTCATCTCCCTCCGTAAGCTTGGCAAGGCTGGGGTGAACACCAACACGGATGGGGCTCGCACTTATAAGGGGAAGCTGGGCAATCGGGTGCTTTGGGATCTGCACGAGAGCAAGGACGTGTACAGATC